ATACTGAAAGCAGCATGTAAATGGGAATCCTGCAAGACAGGTGTTTATATTCTTCATTGCACTGCCTGAGATGGAGGCTCAGATTCTTTTTCTGTGCCCATTTTTCATATTCCTCTCTGATAGCTCAGGGACACCACACAGATGTATGGTAAATGGAGCAGACAGGGGCAATGGAAGCTCCATTCACAACAGGAGAAAATCTATACAGAATATACAAATAATGTTTAATAAAAGTTGTATATAATCTATGATTTTTATGGAGAAAATTTAATTGGAGGACATAGAAGAAGACATACAGGGAAAGACATACCATGTCCATGGATGATGAGATTCATTATCATAAAGATGTTGACTTTCCAGTCCATAAATTTAGTGCATTTCTAATAAAAATCCCAAGAGGATTTTTCATGGAATTGATGAACTGACTTTAATTTATGTGATATTGCAAAAAGTTAAGAAGAACCAGACAATTTGGGAGAACAAGGAGGGAGGCCTTTATGAGACAGCAAGGCTTATTATGAAGCTATAGTCATGTAAAACAATGTGGTATAGCCCTACTCTGTCCAGTATAATAGCCACTAGCCATATGTGGCTATGGAGCACTTGAATGTGGCTAATATGAATTGAAAAGTGAATGTAAAGTACACACCAAATTTTGAAGATTTAGTAAGAGTAAAAAAGAATGTAAAATGTGTCATTAATAGTTTTAAAAATTGATCACATGTTGAAAATATAATATTTTGGATATATTAGGATAAATATATTATTAAAATTAATTTCACTTTATATTAAAAAAAATTCTAATGTTTATTTTTGAGAGAGGGAGAGAGAGAGTGAAAGCAGGGGAAGAGCAGAGAGAGAGACACAGAATCCAAAACAGACAACAGGCTCTGGGCTGTCGGCACAGAGCCCGATGTGGGGCTTGAACCCATGAACCGCGAGATCATGACCTGAGCCAAAGTTGGATGCTTAACTGACTAAGCCACCCAGGTGCCCCTCATCTGTTTCTTTAAAAAACAATTAAAAACAACTTTTTTAATGTTTATTTTTGAGAGAGAGCAAGCAGGGGAGGGGCAGAGAGAGAGGGAGACACAGAATCCAAAGCAGGCTCCAGGCTCTGAGCTGTGAACATGGAGCACAGTGTGGGGCCCGAATTCATG